ATAATGTGTATATTATGATATATTAATTTTCTTTTAGAAGAGAAATTTAATTCAGAGTATTTTTCAATTTTTAGGAGCTAATTTTGATTATTTAGATTTTTGTATCAGTGAATTATTTATCTCAAAAATTAATTGATGAACTGAGCTATAATATGTGTAGATAAATTGTATATAATATATCAAATATTCCATTAGTAAAATATTAGACACTCGCTTTTCTTATAACTTGTTAATTAATTTAATTCTTTAGCAAAACTGGCGTGTTAAGTTTTTATGAAATTTTATAAATTTTTAACGATTTGAAAAGGAAAATGTTAGGTTTTTKATTAAAATCCCACTAACCGAATTAATGTAGTTTATCAAACTGGATCCGTTACTCCAAGGAAYTTCATCTTTACATGAAATATTTGGATATTCGAGTATATTGTTTTGTTGCAGAGCGCCCAAACCGACTGCTAAAACTTGWACTGAATCATATATAAGAGCTGGTTCACACTAATTAATTAAAACCGTTAAAGTATGAACATGACATAATAATTATTATACCTTCATTCTGTAATATTATTATTTTAATTATAGAATTTCACATTATCCCCACAAACCTGTGTCAACATAAACTTGTTGATAGACTGATTCTTTTCAGTGGAATATTGTTCCATGTGTTTGAGTACTTCTCGAACACCGACATCTTCGATGTCCACCATTCTGAATGTAGTTAAGTTCACGAAATTATATTTGAAATCTTCTAAATCGAACATTTCCATATCCTAAATAGTAAATACGACAAAAACATACTAAATCATATAGTTGGTACCAGCCATTCAAATAGTACATGCTTATTTATCCATTTTTTTATTTTAACTAGTAAATTGGTCAAATTGTGTTTTTTTTATAAATAAATGTATTTACAATCTGTAATATAATAAAATAATAGGTAAGGAAATTTGAAATTTTTTTTATAAGGTTTGGAGACTTGAGTGAAAGGTGCATCCATCATCCATTATTGACACTACTTCAAACTGATGTATTTTTTTTATTTAGCGAGGCCAATTTCGTTTTAGTTGATGGGGAGGGATATCCGGGAGAGTCTGGAGAGGTTTGAAATTAGTGGGTTTGGATGATTATTTGTTTTAGAATGAAATTTTTTATAGT